GGTTGTTCACTGTCTGTGGTCATTTAAGGTCTCTTTGGAGTCCTTTTGTGTCTCTTTGTGGTTGTTGTGTGTCTCTTGGTGGCCACATCGTATCCTTTAACGGAAATTTTGGATCCATTTGTGGATACTTGTGTGTCTTTGGTCATTTGTGTTTGTTCAGTGTCTTTTTGTGGTCATTTTATGCTAATTTTAATGGTCATTTCATAGCTGTTTGTGATCATTTTGTGTCTTTGTGGTCATTTTGTGTTTGTTTTTGGTCATGTGTCACTGTGGTCCTATCGTATGATTGTACGCTAATTTTGGATCTGCTTGTGGTCCTTTTTCTGGTTGTTTGTGTCTCTTTGTGGTCATTTTGTGTGTCCTTGTGGTCATTGTGTATCTCTTGGTGGGCATATCGTATCATTTTATGGAAATTTTGGATCCGTTTTTGGTCCTTTTTGTGGTTTTTTGCGTGTCTTTGTGGTCATTTTTGTCCATTTGTGGTTGTTTTTTGTCTGTGTGGGGATCTGTGTGTCTTTGTGATCAAATTGTGTATTTTTATGATAATTTTATAGCTGTTTGTAGTCATTTGGTGTCTTTGTTGTCACTGTGAGTCATATTCTGATCACACCGTGTCCGTTTGTGGTCCTTTTGTCGTTCTTCTCCCTAAATGTTGTATCTTTGACCGCAAAGAGACACAAAAGGGCCACAAAGAAACGAAAAATGTCTACAAGCAGACCATGAAGAGACACAACATCCCCACAAACCGACACAAAACAACAACAAAAAAGAACCAAAATGGGATTTTATCTCAATATATTTTTCAGCTTTAACGTTCAGCCTCCACCGTTCCATTAAAAATGACAGATGATGGGACTCTAGTACCTCTTAAATTACACTAAATTATTAGTTGTCAGTTTGTTAGACTAAATGTTGTTCTTCAGCAGCAGACCAGGTGTATTTCCTCCCCCGTCATTCAACGCTGCATTCATTACATCCAGCTACAAACGAGCCTGAGATGAAAAGCAGACGGAGGCCTCCACCGCTGACGCACAGATTCCTCCAGTTTCCGTTTGTTTTTGTCCCGACTGGAAACACTTTTATGTTCCCGCTCTCATTATTCCATCATCCCCGCCATGTAAACTTATCACCCCGCAAAGCTCAACGCAACAAATCCCGGCGCGTTCTCCGAGGGCTGTCAGAAGCCGTTCTGAGAAACGTCAGTCATCGGACGGCTGAAGAGAAGCGAGCGCAGCGTCACATCACACAAAACACCAGAAAGAGAGACAGAGAGAGAATTTAACTGCAAACGGCAATATTCAAGGACGTCCGCGGCCCTGGAACCGACACGTTTTGTCTAAAGTGGCGTGAAGATGGGCAACGTTGACCACCGTTTGACCCGTGTGAGTACACACTCAATCAGATCTCAATTTAGCAAAACACCGAGCGGGGAAAAGGTGACCATTTTCAGTCGTCGGGAGCTAAGTGTCCCTTCTATCAAGTGTACAAATGACCGGGTGGAACAAAGCTCCGAGCACAGTTTCCCCGAGCTGCTCTTATTGTCGGCGTGCAGCCGTCCTGACCCCCATTTTTCTGAAAACAGTAATCACCTGCAGTGTCTCTGAGTGAGGCGCAGACAAGGCAACAAGACAAAGCCATTATGTTTTGTCTTTGTGCGTCGAGTCTGACTTGTCAGTTTTTTCTGCTGCAACAGAAAAAAAGCTGTTGTTGTGCTCGCTGTAGCTTCAGTCTGCAGCAGAAATGCACTTTCGGGGTATATTTATACACGCTGCTAATTAGCTTTGCATGTTCCAGTGCAGGCAGTACACACAGTGAAGTGTATGTGTGGACATGGACGGTGGGGGGAGACGGGTTTTCTTGTCTTT